AATGCCTTATTCCTGATGTTTTCAATATGATTCTTGAGGCTGAGCTGCGGGTCAAGTGTGACTCCAAGGTATGTGGGATGCTCTTCTTTCATCACTTGGTGTTTGTCTAACCTCAGGTTAATATTCTTCCTTGCTACTTGGTGGCTTTTGGTAAAGATTGTGTAGACCGTCTTTGCACAGTTAATCTTGAGTTTCCATCTTTGGCAGTAATCATGCAGTCTTCTAAGGTCTCCATTCAGTCTTTGGGCTCCACTTTCCACATTTTCATGACTCTGCCATATTGCTAGGTCATCAGCGTACAAGGCTTTTTCAGCCTTGATTTGTTCTGGCAGGTCATTGATAAAGATTAGGAATAGTGTACAGCTCAATGATGAGCCTTGTGGCAAGCCCTCCTCCAAGACTTCTTTAGAAGAGATTGCGTTGTGCATCTTAGTCTGGATTGTTCTATCTATCAGGAAGTATTTCACCCAGTTATACAATCTGCCATGTATTCCTATGCTCATCATCTTCATCAGGAGACCTTTTCTCCATACTCTGTCATAGGCCTGCTGAAGGTCGACAAAGACTGCCACTGTGTGTTTCTTATTCTGGAAGCCATCATGTATTCTTTGTGTCAGTCTGAACAGCTGGTCTTCTGTGCAGCTGTTGGTTCTGAAGCCTGCCTGTTCATGGCATAGAGCACCAGAACTCTCAAGGAACCAATATAAGCGCCTGTTTATCATTCTTTCTGCAACTTTGCCCAAGCATGATGTTAAGGATATCGGGCGGTAGCTTTTGGGGTCATCTGGAGGCTTTTGGTTTTAAGGATGGGGACGATATATGCATTCCTCCATGCCCTTGGAAGTTTGCTTGACCTCCAAACAGTCCATATAATGTGTATGTGAGAGGAGTGGAGTGGCTCTGTGGTACGACACCCACCTCTGACTCAAGAGGATACAGCTTGATTCACGGTGCTGGTGGTTTGGATATTTGCAAGCTAAGAACAAATACATAATGTTTAGATTCTACTGTCCTATGTTGGGTGAAAACAAGAACAGGTCACTGCTTCCTAACAAACATGTTATAAAAGGCGACTAATTATGAATTTTCTCAAATTAGAGGTGTTTGGCCAAAAGGTGCAGACATCACAGCCTAGCTGTAAACCACAACACAATGTGGCAATCACACTTCTGAGGACGAATACACAATAAGAAGAAGAAGAAGAAGTAGATGGACAAGACGTGGTGCAATAAAAATGCTTAATGACCAATAATTCAGAACTCTCTGATACACATAATGACAGCCCATTTTGACAAATATAACATCATAATATAAAACTCAAGTGTGCACTCTTGTCAACATGTGAAACATAAACAGCTTGACATTTGTGGCTTTTTTTTTTTTTTTTGAAACATAATTAAACAAAATCGGATGAAGACATACCACATAATGTCCAAAACAGTGTCAGAGGAATACAAATAGCATTATGAGACTAGCATTCTAAAATTATGACATTGTCTATTTGATGTCTCTAAGACATCATTAGATACTGTACCATAAAATGGCTAGAACATATACATATATATATACTACAGATATTACACAGATAAAGTCAAGCAACAGTATGTCTACAGCATTGTCTGATGAAGATGTATCGTACACACTAAGACACTGTCATAGGAGATTTACTACATATTGTCTAGGAGTTTGTCATACACTGACATCTGTCATATGTTGTCTAAGACACTGTTCAAGAAATAAATCTATCACACACTGTCTAACACATTGTCACATAAAGACATGCACCATACGTTGTCTAAGAACTGTGAGAAAAAGACACCTACCACAGAATGTCTTTTAAGACAAGAAAATGGCAAATACCTCACAAAGTCTATGATCCAATCAGATGAAGATATGAACAACATGTCTCTAGACACCATTAGATGAAAACATGAACAACATGTCTCTAGACACCATTACTTAACTTACCACAAACTAGGATATTATCAAAAGAAGACACTGGTACTATTAACCGCACAATGCTGATGAATATGTTGAGAGGGGAATCTGAGCACCTATGGATGTGTCCGGAGCGCTGTGAAGATAATGTAACTCATAACTCAAAAGAAGACATGAACCACATGTCTATCATACTTTGAAGATGATCTCTGCCTGAATATCAGGACTCCATTCTAATCGGAAGGTCGTGGGTTCGGGTCTTGGCGGAGACTGACTATTTTTAAAAAACCTTGGCTCTCATGTCGAACCCGCCTTGAGTGGGTACCAAATACAGTCTTGGGAAGTAAAGGCAGCCGGCGTGATGCTGCCCACATCATCCCCTAAGTGCCAAATGGACCTATAAAATATAGGTCTTGCCCAATATGCCTGGAGGCATGGAAAAGGGTCCTTTACTTTACTTAACTTACCACAAACTAGGATATTATCAAAAGAAGACACTGGTACTATTAACCGCACAATGCTGATGAATATGTTGAGAGGGGAATCTGAGCACCTATGGATGTGTCCGGAGCGCTGTGAAGATAATGTAACTCATAACTCAAAAGAAGACATGAACCATGTTCTCCTATTTCAGTATCATACTTTGAAGAAACAGACCCTCTGCACCCTAACAAGCATGTCACGAAAGGCGACTAATTAGGAGTCTGTTGAAATCAATGTGCTAGGTTCAAAAGGTGCACATATCGCAGTCTAGCTGTAAACCACACACACAACTCGCCAACTGCCTTTTTAAGGGCAAACAGAGAAGAAGATTATGATGAAGACCAACAAATACCAGCTCTAAGACACTGTCACATGAAGATGTACCACTTAATCACTGTAAAATGAACATATGTAATATCTTAAATACATATTCTGTAATCTCTTTCTAAACAGCTAACAGATTAACACACATATGTCTCTAAGACATCCTAAGTCACATTTACTATCAGACACAGGTGAACATGCGTCTAGAACAATTGCATAATGTTCAAACGTGCAGGAATAACTGACTCTAACAAGATGGAGTTACAATAGTTTGAAATAAAAACAAAAACACAAGTAGTTCCCCAGTTTATAACACATCCCATAAATTGTGGATCTTGGGATGCTTGGCATACCGAAACCTCTATAAGAAGTGAGATTGTGTGAATCAAGGGACGACTGTGAAACTGTTTGACCAGACTGCAGAAATATCAAGTTAAAGTGGATGTGGGCCAGTAAGCATTATGCAGGAAGTCATAATTGAGATCCCAGGTAGTTAACATCACTTGGATATTTTTCTGCAGGTTATGTCAGTGTGTCGGGAAATGAGCAGGCAGATAGACTGGCTGGCTCTGTACCACTTGGTGGTGAAGTGATGTATGACATGTTAGATATTGTGAGGGCCCTAGGGAAGTTACCAGAGGACCTGGCAACACTCAGGGAAAGGATGAGATGGATATACAATCAGACGGTTACTGGTACCATCAGAATTGAAACCCTTTGCTTGCTGCCGAAGATGAGAACTGAGCACTCATGGAAGTGTCCCGAGTGCTGTGATATCGATTCTTAATTCAACAATGTGTTGTCAGCTGTTACACGATGGGAGGGGGGTTTAACTGAGGAGGCTGATCAGAGCCCTTATGGTCTGATGAGCAGGAAGATGGTTTATCAGCTAACTTCTTCTACCTTACTCCTGACTGTGATGGCCTACAGGGCGTATCTCTCATCTGTCCATATCTGCTCTGTGCTGCAGTTTAACAGATGACAGGTAGCAAACCTAGGGCACGCTCCACTGCTGGGTATCCTATAAAGTCGTCAAGTCATAGGCTGTGAATGATTCCTTCAGTCCAACTTCTAACGAGTCTTCCTTTACAACTTCTATTTTCATGTTGTACATTCTTGCTAAAAGTATCTTTGGATTCACTCTCACTAGATGGTTAAGGTTTTCAGAAGGGTTTCTAGCATTCTGTTTTAAAATAATGTTTTCCTGTTTTTCCCGGCGACCATAAAACAGACACAATGTATCGGAAGAAACTATTCGCATTTCAGTTGAATTTAATCAGTTTTGTGCTTTATTTTATGTTGATGTAACTCTGTAGTAACGCACCTGATGAGATACAGTGAAATATACCTGGCAATAAATTGTGCAATGTATTGTTTGTATCCATATTATGTAAATTCTCTGTTTTGCAATACTTTAGCTCTCTGATTCATCAAGGGAAACTTTAAAACTGAGTAAGTATAATAAATATGATTTCAATTAAATGAAAGATGGATATAAATACAAGATTGTTTCTGTAAGCCTCTTTCTATTCACCGAATATTTCTAATCATAATTTGACATTCGTTCACTTTTTAGAATCAGCTCAACAGCAGCCTTCCTTATTTGTAACTTTACCGAAGACCTAAAGAGCTAAAAAGGACAGGCCATTCTATATCATGTGTGTTTGTCATTTTCTAAGAAACTTCCACATCAAGTCTCTCCAGTCCCCTCTTCTTCTTATTGTGGGATGTTTTCCTGTGTGAGTTTAGTAGATGCATTTCGTGGGGAAAATAGTCCTGCCACCCCTTTGACAAGCCTTTCGTACAAGTCAAATAATTAGGAGGTTAGAAGTCAGAGTGCATCAGCCTGAGAAGTAAAAAAACTATCAGTCTGCATACAAATAAGCCAGATCTGAAAAAAGAGTGTGCACACAAAACTCGATCAAAGTCTAGAAATGGATGAACAACCAAAACTTTCTCCCAGAGTATACAGCTGGTGAATGCCAAGAAGAACTGTTATATAATAGCAAGGGTTATGTGTACATGAGACAATATATCGTGCAAGGGATATGTGTATGGGAGAAATTATCTGTTATAATCCAAGGGGTATGTGTATGTAAGAAATTATCTGTTATAAACCAAGGGGTACATGTGTGTGAAAAACGTAAACTATCAATAAATAAACAACAAACAAATATACAGCAACACAAACAGTTTAAAAGAAACCAAAACTAATGATCTAAAAACCCTAAAGTTTTCTGTGCATGGGAAAGTTCTCACTTCTTGTTCACTGAAAAAGGTTCCGCCTTGGTCTGGTGGCGTCTGTGTTTACGGGGCCAGGTGCCAGAGTCATATCCGGCTGCTGCTGCTACAACTACAGCTTTGCCGAGCTCACAGCTGGAGGGTGAAGATTCTCTACAGGGATAGTTTGATGACATGTAAATGTTCTGGGTGGATGATGTGGCTTCCTGGGAAATGGATGGGGATTCACAAGAAGGAGACCCCATAGAGAACTCATCTTCATCATTAAAGCTCATGTTGGCAAATGCAGAGATGCTGACATCTCTACTGGAGCGTTTGCTAGCAGTTCTGGCTTTCAATCTCTGATATTTACTCTCATCATCATAATCTCCGGCAGTGTCCCAGTCGATATTATCCTGGCCGGCAAAGTCCCAGGCAGGCTGCTGAGAATAGGGTAACGGCTGGGGCAGGGATGTGCTAGAAGTCATTGTGAGGTCACTTGGTCGTTGGGCAAATGTCCTGGCCTGAGTTGCTGCACTGGTTTGTTTCGGACCTTGGCTGTAGCTATTTGGTTGGACTGTTTGCTGGCTTCCTTTATTGAACAAATACAGCTGACTTTGCTGTTGTAACACATTCTGCTGAAGAGGAATGGGCTGAGGGAGGTTCACTGGTGCTTTACTCGACAAAACATGATAAGAGGGCAGCGGAACTTGGTGCTGATTCTGAAGGGACCCCTCTGGTGAAAAGGGTAGATAGCTACCCAGCAACTGTTGCTGGCTGCCATAGTACTGAGGAAAAGGATGAGTAAAGGATGCTCCTGTAGCTTGTGTCTGCTGTTGGCTGGAAACACTGGCAGTGGTTTGGTAGGGTGGTCGAGTTACAGCTTGTAAGTTCTGCTGAATATAATCAGGTGGTGACTGGACATCAAGAGAACTCAAGGAGTAATAATGACCCTGTGGCTGTACTGGAAACTGCCCTCCTGGGGGCTGGACTCTGTGGGCAAGTGCATTAAATTCACGCTGGTTATTGGTGATGTTTCCTGCGAATGTTTGTGGAAAGCTTGTAGTAGAGAATGTGGCAGAAATAGGAACCTCTTGCGGGACACTTACTTTCTTCACAGAACGCTTCATAGCTTTGTTCAGAGGAACAGCCCCAAAGGGATCTTCAGAGATGTTACCAACTCCAACTTCTGATAAAGATCGTGGCAGAGCTGACTGTGACATAGCGTGGCTAAGGCTGGTAGAATCCATGCTGAATCCATTCTTCATCTGTGTGTTATAATCAAAGCTTGTGCCACTTTGTGACCAGGTCTGTGATTTCACTGGCACAGTACCACCTTGATGTAAAACAAGGCTACTGGTTGTGCCTGGAATATGAGAAATTACTGAACCTGAGACAGAACTAGCCATACTAGGCAAGCTTCCAGGCTGGGCTTCATCAGGAGTCTTCAGGCACATGGTGTAGTCTCCAGTTGGGGAAACTGTGCTAGAAGATGGCCCAGTAGAAGTCGGTGTTAAGGATGACCTGAATGGCGTACTGCCAAAGACATCTTGTTGATATTCACTTTTCTTGGAGTTGCCAGCAATGGTGGGAACTGACTGGCAGCTTCCTGGGCTGGTAACTGTAGAAGAGTTGTTGCTTTTGGGAGCTTTATGTTTAAATGGGGCTCCTTCAAAAACATCAGATGATTGCAAATTTGCAGACGAAGTACCAGAAGCCAGAACTGACGCAGGGGTAGACCTCTTTGATGATCGGTGCTTGAATGGTGCAGCTGAAAAGACATCAAAACCTGCTTCTAGCTCTGGAGATACCACTGAAGAAGATGATGTTGTCATGGCAGCATGATCAACAAAATCTGCTTCTGCAGCCTCTGAGGCTACAGCAGTGTGGTGATACATGTGGGCTGCAAATTTACCACCGATATTATTGTATGACCCTTGTTGGTCTGACAGCCCAGCCAACCCCTGGTTTGTCATTCCATCGGAGTAGAAAAATTGATCAGAATGACTCTGGACTCCTGCCTTAGCCCAGGTTTGGGTTTGACTGCCATATGCCTCTTGTAGCTCATCATCATCTAGCAAAGGCCGAACTCCATACTCATGTCCTACTATAGGGTCCGACCTGGAAACAAACTGCAAACTCTCATTATCAACAGCACTTTGTTTCACAATCAATGATCCACTGGGGTCAACTGGCCGAGATCCAAACTCATCATCCAGTTCCTGATACCCAAAATCATTCTTCTGCTGTCTTTTCCCAGAGGGAAAGTCTTCGTCTGCATAAGAGGAACTGGACTCTTTGCGATCTCTTGGTTCAGATTTGCTCTTCCCCACACCAACTGTCCCTAAGTGTGGCATAGAATCCTGTATTAGAGCTTTAATACCTTTTTCGAGGTGTGACTTCTGCCCATCTGTTGTTTGATCTTGCTCTTCAGTCTCATCAGAATCAATCAGCTGTGAGTACTTAGCCCTAGCAAGGGCAGCTCTTAAGTGGCCAGCACCGAGGAAATCTCTGGACCGAGTTTCAGATGACTTCTGGGTATCTGTGCTGGGTGCTGCCTGTTCAACAAAAGCGGCTTCTTGTGGCTTGGACTTCTCTCGAACCTGAAGATTCCTCTCGTCTCCATCTGTGCTGCTTTCACTGGGACTAGCATCTTTAGATTTGTCTGAAAACGCAGATTAAAGAATGTTACTTGAAAAGTGACTGAAGCAACACAATTTTTACATTGTGCTGGTGCATTCTCATACAACTGATCACATGGAAACATTGCTAACATTAGGTAATCAAAAGGAAATTGTGCTTACACATAAACAGTCTAAAAAGTAGAACATTGTTTCAATAAAAACAGTCAATCAAAGGAGAATATTGCTTACATACAAAGTTGTAACCAAAGTAGAACTGCATACATACTAAAAGTCAATCAAAGGGAAACATTGCCTACATACAAACAGTCAAAGGTGAACACTGCTTACATACATTCTATCATATTGGAAGACTGCTTACATTCAAACAGTCGATCAGAGGTAAATATTATTTATAAACATTTAATCAAAGAGAAACGCTACTTACATACAGACAGCCAATCATAGGTGAGCCCTGCTCACATACAGTCAATCACAGAGGAATACTGCTTACATACTGACAGTCGACAAAGGTCAATATTGCTTACATACAGGCAACCAATCAAAGGTGAGCCCTGCTCACATACAGTCAATCACAGAGGAATACTGCTTACATACTGACAGTCGACAAAGGTCAATATTGCTTACATACAATTAATTAAGCAAAGAGCAACAATACTTACATGCAGTTAATTAAATGGTACACTGCTCACATACAAAAACAAACAAAACATTATTAGAGGGAAACACAGCTTACATTCAAAATGTCAATCAAGAAGAAATATAAAAGTTAAAAAAGTGTTGCTGAAGAGGGAAAAAAAAGAGATAAGTGAAATATTTTGGCTATTTTAAAATAAAACTGATAAAAACAGTACTACAGGTACAAGTGAAAGGCAAAGACACAAACAAGAGGTGAACAGTGAGATAAATGACAGGAAAATATCAAGAGATAGACAAAGCAGTGTCTGGAAGAGTGTACACCCAGGGCATGAGACAAAGGGTCTCACAGATCCCCTGCAGCCAACCTTCGTTGTAGAAATGGCACCTGACTGAGCTGAACCAAGATTAAGCAATCAGATATTTTGCATACATGTCTGTAGGCCCATATTTCTAGACAATCAGCATTCAATGGATGATGTGGTCAGCAAAACACCAGCTACCTTTACTTCTCAAAAATTTATGTGCACCCATTTTTAAGCTGCACTGCTCCGAAGCTTAGGTCAGTAAAATATTATTTTACTTGAAGAAAAATCTGAACACAAGATTGTTCAGTTTGCCAGCGTGCAAACAATTCAGGGTAAGGCATATTCAATTTTTAATATTCTTGGATTTCTCTGCCAAGTTTTGAACAAATAAATTTATATTTGAAAAAAAAAAAAAAAAAAATTACATTTGTGAAGTACATATTTATTTGTTTAGCACACAATGCAAATTGAAAAAGACATCAATGTCATACAAAAGCAAAAATCAACATGGCAACACTAAATATGTGTATTAAACCAAGTTTCTAATTTCAATGGTGTATAACTTCTAAGTACTAAGATATCTGCTCAAAATGTCTGAAAAAGACTGGCAGTCACTTTGAATACAACAGTGAATGAGGTGGGCACATGTTCAGGGAGGCTGGATGTGTAGAGAGAAATATTCTGGGATGGACATGAGAGAACGAACAAACGAACAAACTTTATTTTCGAAGGGTTACAAATTGGGCACGCAGGCCCGTCTGACATTTGGCCCTTCTAAGTACTCATTTTTCAGAGTACCAATACCTGTTATCAATAATGCATGTTATGGATTTAATAAAGAAATATAAATTATAGTATAATGCATACACACATCATGTGTACACAATCGTACACACTCACACACACGTATACATACTCCTTCAGAAGAGATTCAGAAGCAGGTGTGTCAGGGTTGAGGTTTACATTGCCTGTGACTTATCTTCCCCCCCCCCCCCAATCCTGCCCCCCCCCCCCTTCTCTGTGTTGCTACCTCGAGGTTTGAATGTTGCTGAAGACAACTTATCCTGAAGAACAAACATGGAAATTTCCAGATTCACAGTTCAACCTCCAGATTTCCAGATTTGTAATATTTGGGGCATGCATTAAGGTGAACACAGCTTGCTGTAACCTGCACTCTTGTGCTGGTAATTAGTCTGTGTTAATGAAGGGAGAACTGTCAAAAGTTTTCCTGTGATGAAGTCAGTAACACATCGTTACCATACATTGCACAGCTTTATCAGCACAACACAGCATCAGCAAACATCACAGCACAGCTTCATGAAAACTTCACAGCCTCACCAAATAACTCAGCCTCAAATAACATCACAGCATAGGTTCATTAAAACATCAGTCTCATCAAAAAAGCACCAAACATTAGTCTCATCAAAAAAGCACCAAACATCACATCACTGCTTCATCAAACTATCACAGACTAACTAAACATCACAGCACATCTTTATCAAAATATCATATCGCTGTGTGGGTTCTTGGGGGAATTTTTTTTGGTGGGGGGGGGGGGGGAGGACACACACTGCCCCTAACAAGCATGTTGTAAAGGGTGACTGTTTCATTCAAAGTCCCAGTGCATCTGCCTGAGAGGCATGGAATAAACAAAACAAAAAACAAATCTAGATCTGTTAAATGGATGTGAACACAAAACTCAAGTTGTAGAACAAGACCAAAGTCCAGAACTGTACGAACAATCAGAACTTCCTTCCAAAGTCTACAGCCAGCGAATGCTAAGAAGAAGAAGAAGAAGGAAAGGATAACACCAGTCTTATTAAAAATCTCACCCACCAAACATCACAGCATAGATCCATCAAATCAACATAGCTTTCTTAGAAACAGAAGTGCATGATAATAAAGTGAAGCCATCAACTTACATGTCAGTTTACAAAATGTGACAAATGATTGTACAGAGCTCTAATCTACATAAAAGAAAATGTTCGGAAATCTCTGCAAGAACTGGAATACCATCTTCTTCAACTTGCTAATTAGAGTGGCCAGATGCACAGAGTGCTACTGCTCACTTACAAATATTTTTTCTCACTTAAAATCAATGGGAGCCACCATAGTGCAGCGGCTAGATGTTTATCTGCGGATCAGAAGGTCATGGGTTCAACTCCCAACAGAGCCTGACTTTTTCCCTGTTAAAAAATGACACTGGCTGCCAGGTCCACCCAGTCTTAAATGGGTACCAGGTAAAGGTGGCTTAGTTTGATGTTGATTTTCCTTTTCTTGAAATCTGTCGTTGGCTCCGAGGTTGAGCCAGTCTTAAAAGAGGACCGAGTGATGTAGCAAAGGTGGCCGGCGTGATACTGACATCACTCACCAAGCGCTGACTAGTCTATACAAATATAAGTCTAGCAGCATATGCCTAAGGTGCTCCTAGCATAAAAAGTATCCTTCACAGATTTTTTTATCACCTTAATGATGAGGGCATCTTGAAAGAAGCTGATTCACACAAAAAAACTGACAGACCACAGCAGAAAGAGCCAATCTACATTCTTTTGTCATGTGATTAGAAGGAGAAGCCTGGAGTACATCATGACATAGTAATGCTGGAGGGGAGGAGAGGCAGAGGGAGCCCGAGAGAAAAGATGCTGAACAGTTTGATATCATGGCATGGAGGATCATCTGTGTCAGAGATGATTGACAGTATAGGTGACAGAAGGTTGTGGATAGTCATGATTACTAACACTGCACAGCATGGATTTTAAGAAGAAGAATAATGTACATTCCAAACTTTTTTTCAGTAACCGTAAATTCACAACACATTCATTCGCTACTCTATAATAAAGTACTAATTTTCTACTCCTGCTTTACCAAATTAATTGTTATGTTAAACACTACACATTAATGAAATTTCTTTCATCAGAATTCTGTATTTTTCAATTCCCCAAGAAAAAATGTTTCTCTAATGTATAAAAACTTCAGGATAGACGGCACTGGGAAAAAACCCACCTGGGACCAAAAGAGTTGACTGTATCCCCTACAGCTGTTCCACTAATTCAGTATATCCTAGTTTTTATCTCAACTTCAAAAACTGTTTCAACAGCTCATTCCATCTCAGTTTTTACTTTTTCACTAACTAAATCTGTCCTAGTTTATCCTGTAACATCTGACTCCATACAGTTGTTTCATTAATTCATCATTTATCTATTTTTCTTGTGTAATTCTTTCAGTAAAAGAGTAAAAATTGTGTCAAGTAAAAGCAAAGCAACAGTAAGAGTAGTGACAATAAATGACCCTTTCTCAAACCACATATAGAGTATGTGGTACTGGTGTCATATTTTCAGTGATCAGTATTTACTGGGTAATGTGATCATAATCACACCAGCTACATTTACTTCCCAGGAGATTTCCTGTTACCCTATTTTCAGTGGCTTAGCCTGGGAGCCAGAACACTTACAAAGATATATTCACCTTAAAGAAGACAGATTCAAACAATATGGTCCCCGGGCAAGCGAACTACATTTGGTGTACATACTTTTGTGTACACACGCGGTAGTACTCAATATGTGAATGAGAGGAAAAAAGTTTCCAATGCATTAAATTGAAAATAGAGAACAGATATGAGGGTCAGTAAGCATGAAACAATATATATTCTTACTGTCCAAACACTGTGGATTCAAACCCAACAACTTCAGGCTGGCAGATGAGTGTCTAACCATCATAAGCAAATCTACATGCCAGTGAATATACAGATCTGTTGTGCCTATTTAAAGGGAACACAGAGATCCCTGTCACTTAAACACGGTGGAAGCAAATCTACAGGTTGACCATGTGGGAAATGCATAGTTGGTACAAGTATATTTGAGACTGTGAATACCAGCTACTATATAGCACACACACACAGCTCACATCAGATGCCTTTTCAAAACCTGACATTGAAAGGCAGAACAGGGTCTATGTATTTTTTCACATACTGAAGGCCACAGCACAATAAGCTGCTTGGCCAATTCCCTTTATCACTAGAGTCTTTCCCATAGTTTCCAGAAATTAACCGGTACTCATTTTTTTTTCTTTTTCAATCAGTT